CTATACATTATTTTAATATGTGAATCCAAATGTATGTGCATATGCATGAAAAATAAAATTGGCTACAGACATTAAACTTTTGAACGGGATACAGATGCTCACAGAATAAAATTTATTTTCCCTAAAAAACTTTCATAATTCAGCTTGTTGTAATATATAATACCACCAATAGAAAAGCACTGTATTCATTTTCTATTACTGCATAACCAGTTACCACAAACTGAGCAGCTTAGAAAACATATAATTTTTTTTATAACTAACAGTTTTGTAAGTTTTGTAAATTTTGTAAGTTTCGTAAGTTTTTCAGGCGTGGCATGGCTGGATTCTCTGTTCGGGGTCTTACAAGGTTCTCATCAGAGTTTCTTCTGGGCTACTTTCCTTTCTGAAGGTTCTGGGGAATAAGCTGCTTCTAAGTTCATTCAGGCTATGAGTGGAATTCAATTCCCTTTGGTCCTAAGACTGAGGTCCCCGTCTCCTTGCCGGCTGTCAGCTGGGAATCACTCTCAGGATCTAGAAACCACGTGTGTTGCTAGCCACGTCTTAAGCTCCCTCTTTAAAGCCAGCAAAGGAGAATTTATCATGTGTCAAGTCTCTCTAGCTTTGAATTTTTTGACATTGTCTTTGAGCTCCAGACCGACTCTTGTCAAAATCATCGTCAGCATCGTCATCATCAGTCTTCCAAGCGTCAGGTCTCCTTTAGGAAGAGTTCATAAGACAGGTCCAACTATTATGTGAATTCAAGTTCTCTCCCATTATGTTCCTGCTGCCCATAGGAATCAAGGGATATGAGTAAGGCATCTAGTCTGGTATCCTTAAATTTTCGGTAGCACTTGAGAAAATCCCCAGTGTCCTTTGACTGAAGGTTAAAACATTCTGTGGCAAGGATCTTCTAGAAGGGTCAACAGAGTCCCAGACTCCAAACTTTGTTAAGTTCTAATAACTCCCAAGGAAGGGACATCTGGCCCCAATTTGAACAGATCAAGAAGACATTCAGAAGAATGTGAGCCCTGAGCTGGGTAACGGGACCCACAGGAAGAGGTGACCTGGCAAAAGAAGCAGGATATTCTAGATGGAAGGGATCACATGCCTATAACCACGTGAGGTGGGAAAGAGTGGTGTATTCATGAAATTGCAGAAGCGGGAACAGGTCCTTCACAGACATGGTTCTGATCTATGTGTTTACGTAGATCAATTTCACACCACATGGAGGATGGATCTGGGCAGAATGCAGGCAAAGGGATGTGTTAGAATGCTGTTCCAGGGGTCTATGGAGAGTATGACAAGGACATGGGTACAGGCAGGTCCTCTGGGGCTTGCAGGAGCAACACAGGGCCCCATCTAGAAGAGGACCAGGTGGCTCCTAGGGCTGCTGGATCAAGACCTCCCTGACAGGTCTTAGCCTGAGGAATGGGTGAGAACCAAGTAGTTGCAACTGGCCAGAGGGTGGAAATGGGCTATTAGCAAGAAGGATTTGGTCATGACCCTAAATAAAGGGCCTCCTCTGTATAAATAACATTCCTGATTCAGATCTGGATGGTTCTGGGGAATTAGGGAGAAGCCAGGGAAGCAAACTCTCTTGCTGTAGGAGGAAGAAGGATCCAAGAGCTTGGAAAGGTTTGGCCTGAAACCAGTGAGGAAAGCCAAGAGAGGAAGGCAATGAGGGACACAGTGGAACTGTAGCTACAGTAAGAAGCAACAGTAATTCTATTCTAGAAGACTGATAACACTTCAACAACCATGAATTGATCTGATTTCTGGAAACTATGATATGAACTTGCTTAGAAAAGTCTGAGAAGAGTTTAAGAGATCACAGTGTTCTTATTTGCAGCTACTTGTACCCTAGATATGAGCATGCAGAAGTTGCTTTGTGCTGCAACAAGAGCTGTCTCCAGATCCTCCCCTCTCCAAATTCTCGGCATT